GAAAATATCGACGAAAGAATTACGTTGAAATGAAATACAGCTTCAAACGGAAATACTAATTTCAAGGCAGAATTACGAATCGGTGGAATTTCAAGAAATAAGATTACTAGAGGGCGAAAAGTAGGAGTTAAACAATATTGCCGAAGTCGAATTTAACTTTCTACAATCACGCGAAAGAACAAAATTTCTATTTAAGTCAAGCTTTATTAGCAACTATTAAACATTTCTGTACAATTGTGTGACGATCTATCTGTGATTGAAAGAATTGAAAAATACGCAAAAGTTAAAATACAAGCAAACAAAATTATCCTTAAAGTGGATTAACAATATTGGTGATTGCTTCTATTACAGATTCCACGATGGATTCGTTACCGAAAGTGATTCATGCTAAAGATGAACGCGTCCTCCGATAAACGTATGAAACAATCAAAGCACATTGTGCCTTGTAACTGTTAAATATCATCGGCATCATTAATGTGGATAGTGTTATTACTGACCATCGTTCTGAAGATTCTCCTAAAGAAATTGCGAGCATTTGATCAAGTATCGAGAGAAACGCTACGAATGGAGGCACCGCCAACTTTCGTGTACCGATTTATTGGACTGTGATAAGAAATTTCACTCGACTCGACGTTCCACTCATTCGATTTCTACTTTTACAAATCTGCGCGAAAGTACACAATCGAATTTTGACGTCGTTCAGAGAAAAAGTGCGAAAAAGACTTGATTGATAGTTAAATCGAGGGAGGGAGGACAGATATCGGCGAGAACGTCGTGAAGAAACGAGTTTCTAATGTGAGAAGGAAATTGTTGATTGTGATATTTGGTTCTGAAATTTGTGTCAGAGAAACGTGAATTAAGTTAGTTGGAAGCATGTGATTAAATGGCCGTGGCAGGATCTTGGTATCCTTCGAAGGATCTACTATGGGCATCTGCCTGGACACTGGTGAGTATTTATTGAAAATATCATTGACATGTTAATTTTTCAATACTAAGTAGCATTATTTTCTCTAAAACAAAATCATTATTCTTCGATCATCTTTTCGTCGAGCTTGCAATTCTGATTTTCTTATTCGTGAAATGCAAACATTTATAAAGAGTGGCAATTAACAGGACATTTTAATTGATAAGAAACTGCCAATTAACAAACGATGAAATACAATACTATATACATATTTTACATCGTAAAATATCATCGACATATTAATTTTTCCATACTAAGTAGCATTATTTTCTCTAAAACAAAATCATTATTCTTTGATAATCTTTTCGTCGAGCTTGTAATTCTTATTTGTGAAATGCAAATATTTATAAAGAGTGGCAATTAACAGGACATTTTAATTGATAAGAAACTGCCAATTAACAAACGATGAAATATAATACTATATACATATTTTACATCGTAAATGTCATCGCAATTATTAATATTTATTTCCTACGAAAAGTTAAGAATAACATGTATTTTTTCGTATTTAGTTATATCAGATATGTAAGAAATTCTGAGAATAAAGAGATATTTATTTTTCAAGTCATTTTTTGAACTCTTCATTTTTACTGCGCTGCTACAGCATTAAAAATCGATAATTTTGTAACTGCAAGTGTCAATAATACAAACAATAAATATATAATAATCGAGTTGAACTGCAAAACAAGTATTTGTTCAAGATCTTAAAAATTTATATACAAATATTGGTATTTCTTATCAGTTGTTGATGACGCAATGATATAGATAGTATGATACGATGCAGAATATTACAACACTGCTGCAACTGTGATATGTAAACCGAACTATAAATGAAATTTGTTTACATTGCGAGAAATTTTCAATTGTGGAAAACAAAGAAATGGAGAAAACGCTACATTTGAACGTCACTTATATTAAATTCATTACAAAATCGACAACTTCACGAGATGCTTCATCCTAACTATCTTTTTCCTTTTCTTTGTTTATCAAGAGACACGGCGAGTTGTTAGATGACGTTGACGTTTGATTGTCCGATATATGAACTCGCCGAAATCGATATAAATGAACTTTTCATATCTAAGTCCACCAGTGTTTTAGTACTTGCTTTTTATTTTTAGTATCTCAAGGCATTGTAAAGTGAAATTTTCGCGTAAATATTAAAATGCCAAAATTGGCTGGAAACTCAGCGTCGATCTATTTCTCAAAGGTATGTAGTATCCACTGAAGCGGTCGATCAACGTTATATCTCTGGATTAATATCACCGTGATGAATGTCTCGATGATTCAAATTCATAAATTCATACGTGTATTAAAACATGGGACAAAATAAAACGATAGTTCATTTGTAATTTAACAGATTTTACAAAACTTAATTGTAAAACAGTAGAAAATAGAAGGGAGATCATATTCTCACCCTCTGTCTTTATCTGAGCTAAAATTTAGTAAATATTTAATAGGAAATAAATAAAAACAATTTTCCAAAATTATTAATTCTCTATAAAATGTACTGATGATATTCAAGATTTTGTATTACAGACATTTTAAAGAATCTATTTAATAAATTATTTTAAATTTTAATTAAGTCCTTAATTTAACTACGATCCAATTAGATCTGATATTTGAATTCTTTTGAATTACAGAGACATCAAACGGTATTTTCTAGAAGAGAAGAAATATGCCAAAATGTTTCTCATTTCATTTTCATGACGTTACGTCACAATGTGAACGAGACACACGTGTGACCCATATACACCTTGTACTTGACATTACATTATATTATTCGATCAATAAGTCTTCCAGCGATATCCGAAAAGAAAAGTAGAAACTCATATTTACCCCAAATTGGACGCATCCCTTAATTGCTTATTATGCAAAGCTATGAATAAGAAACATGTTTCATAGGACCTACTACTAACACGTAGTACACGTAACATATATATATATATATATATATATATATATATATATATATATAAGAGAAATACAATTTTACTCAATTTCAAATTATGAAGAAAAGTATATTTTAAAAGATCTTATTCAGAATTTTAATATACACAGAATTGATTTATAAATATGAAGATTATCTTTAGTTATGTTTATAAAAGTATTGAATTTAATTATTTTAATAATTTATTATTATGAATTTAATTAATTCGATTATTTTCCTTCGTTAAGTTCAGAATGTTCAACATCATCTCCCAGAAAACTAGAATTCATTCTTCATTATAAAATCCAGCAGCAAAGAATATATATATCCTCTCTTTCTTCGTAGAAAAAGAAATACGAAACAAAAAAATAATAATAATAATAAACATAAATAAAATAATCGGATAATTATAAAAATCTACTATTGTTTCTTCTTTAGCGTGCCAAATATGTCTTAATTATCTTAAATCAAGATAAAATAGAAATACGTGTTCGACTTCTAATAAAACGTATGGCGCGTACATTAAAGAAGATATATTTCTTTTCTTTGTCAAACGTAATTCCATCGTGTTATACTTTCTTCAAGGATCAATGAGATTTACCGTAGAGACTTAATGGTTTACGTAGAAATGAATACCCTCGACGATAACAAAGGAATATCTATAGGCGTGACTCATGTAACGAAATCAATATTGCAAATAAATTCATGAAGTTTGTCGTTAGCTAGTCAAACGTGTCCGTACCTTTTCCTTTACCATTTTTGTTACAAAAAATATATATATATATATATTACATTGTATTACTTGTCGATGGTAAATGGATTATAATTTGAAAAGAGAAATCCAACAATTTCAGATCAGACCATCGGAAAATCCTTATAATAAATTGATCGAAAGTAGATAGGGATTAATCGTTGATTTGAAGAAAAATGCTGTAATGCTTAAATTTCTACATGCATGACAGCATTAAATTCTTGATTGAACAATCAAATTCAAGATTGAAAAATTTTGATCAGAAGATTTGTTTCATACATACATGTTCATCGAAGTCAACCTTTTTTTTTAAAAAAATTACTTCCAAAGTAAACTACGTATTAAATATCGCGTGTTTAATAGCAAGTTCCAACTACGTGTAACTAGAATGAAGCTGATAATTTTGTCGTTAGAATTTTTATATGTAAATAATAGATACCAAGAATAAAATCATGTTTGAATAATTTACTCTATGTATATGCATATACATGTCTATACCGTGTATGATGTATCTGTACCTACGCATTGAACAAACGCGTTCATGAATAAATTAAATAATATACGATATGCGTAGTAAATCACTCATTTATCATCATTTAGTTAAAATCGAATTTTTTTGAAATATCAGTACTTTAAAAGGAAATCACGATTCAATTACAATTTCCATTTCAATTTGTTTTTTCTAAATTTATTTACCTTTATTCAATCGTGCACCCTTGTTTTATTTATCAACGAAAATCACAGTAACGATGTGAAAATGAATGTCTAAATAATGTTTGGCAAAGTTACCGAAGTTAGCAAAAATGTTTAATTACTTATTATCTCTCGGATTGATTAAGGAAGGGATAGATAGATGCTGGTAACATCTGAATCTAACTAAACTCATTACTCAATTGCAGTCATTAATATTTAAATCGAATGTACATAGCGCGGCTAACACGTGGTTTTATGAATTGTCACGCAACATTATGCAATGCATGCGATATAAAAATTCAACGATGCAGCACTGTCTAGATAGATATCCCTTTCAAGAGCATATCCTTCAAACTGCGTTCGATACTCAACCAGACCATTTCTCTTTAACTGTTCTTGCAACACGATATTTTTTTACAAACAAATATCATAACTGATGTGACGTCAGTTGGCAATTAAGAAGGGGAACAGGAAAAAAGGAAAAAAGAATGGAACATGTAAGAATTAAAATTAAAAGACATTAAAGTCAAAACGAATGAATAAGCGTTGCCTTCTAAAAAAAAAAAAAAAAAA